AAAATGCTTGAAATTCTATGTGCTGTGAAAGACAAGTGAATAAACTGACCTGCAGCAGGTGATGATGAGGTGAAGAGAAGAGAGACTGTAGGATAAAACACACATCATAAAGTTCTGTTTATATGTTAAATATATATACAATATGAAAAGATGTCTATTGAGAGATGCATAACCAAAATTGTCTTACTTAAGTCTAAAAAGGGCAAAATCCTCTGCCGCAGGATCCACATGACAGAGAGAAAAGCTGCTCTGTATCATTTACCGAGACTGATCAGAAAGCAACTGAAGTTAAATCTGCCTTCTGGAACAGAAGTAGTGTTGAGGTTTCCTCATCTTGCCACGGCCACATCATCCCCCACTATATTTTCAACAGCCATCACCACGCTGAAGAGTCAGGGGAGCATTCTGCTAATGCAAAGACGTTCTTTTTACGGCCAGCATTTTTGTGAAAGCCACGTGGCTGAATTGTCCAAGATAGTCTTGACTTTTTGGATGAAAGGTGTGAAAAGGGTTTGCGTTTAGAGACAAATTCATAAGTAACAGGAAGCCTCAAAACGACCTGTAGAAAAATCTGACTCACAGTACCAGACAAACTGATCATATATGTTCAGTTGTCAGAGTTAAGGTTATATTCCATATTGCTGATGCGTACTAACTATAAAAATGGACAAGAAATCATCCCTAGATTAACTCACAGATAATCTGGAACTAATACCTGTTGTCTATAGTTTGCTGCTTTGCTGCCACCCATTGGACACTCTGGACACTGGAGACTTTGTAACAGGGGAGGCAGGTGGAAAAACAATCTTGGCGGGATGCCAAAAGATTTCCCTGCCCAATCTAGCATGAGCATTGAAATGAACAGCTGGAAAATTGTAGCAGTTCCACTATAACTATTTAATTCCACAGTTTTTAGTTTCACAGAAAAAGTGACAATTGACAGCTAAAAGTCTAATACTATACACTACAATTGGGGGGTAAATTCATAAGAGTTCATGAGTTCATTCTCTCCAATATCGCGTGGACATCAGGGGCAGTTCTGCTGGATTGGATGACTGGGTTGGTGGTCCCCCTATTCAAAAAGGGGGACTGTGGAGGGGGTGTGGGGCTCAGCTGGAGGAGGGGAGGTGTGGGGAAGGTTCAGGGGAGCAGTGCCAGGGGGCGTGACTAGCACGCCTGGAATGAGTTGTCTAATCACTCTCCCCTTGTTAAAAACAGTAACGTGCTGGATGTGGAAAGGAAGGACTGCAGACTGGGATCCAGCCACTGAGCCGCTCAACCACTAAACAATAAACCAACAAAAGTCTCACAACAACACCCTGTCGTGGACAATCTGTCGAGGCACCCCCGGAGTGGCTATCACCTCCACAGATGCTAGCAGAGGTCGCCACGATGAGCCGCGACCAGGCCCAGACAAGGCTCCTGGAAGCAATGGTGGAGTGGGCCGAGACACTACCAAGGAGACTGGTGGTCGGGGACATTGGGCTGCACAACCCCGCAGTTTTTCCTTGACATGCTTGAAGCAACGGCGACGGCATGCAGGTTGCTTCCCCTCCTGTCTGGAGACACCCAAACGCAGGCGTGCCGGCGGCGCCCACTGGACTAGGACTAACCCCCCCCCCTTCCTTCAAACACTGAAGGGCTGATTGTTGGGGCCACTGGGTGGCCTGCATTAACCCTGAGTGGCTCCTTACCTTTCTCCTTCCCAGGGTGTGTTCGGGCAGATCCAGCTGTAACCAGTGACTGCAATCAGGACTGCAAGTCCTTTTTGCAGTATTTCGTTCCCTCCCTGGATTATTTGCCTGCCCGTCCACCCTCCGTCACCTTCTGGCTCAGGAGCTTCCAGAATACTCAAATTGCTTACCCATCTTCACACCTCCACGCCGACCATCTCTCGCTCAGAGTGAAAATAAAAACTTTTGTCTTCACTCAAGTCTGGATAGTAATCTGTGCTCACACTAGTCAGTTACTCGATCATGACACTGATGGGGTCTGGTCAAGCTGGGGGATGTCTCCGGTGGGTTGGAGGGTGGAGGTGACGAGGGTGGTACGGTACGGTGTTTGCTGAAGGTGGGGGTGGGCTGTGGGAGATGTGAGGACGTCCTGGGGGCGGAAGGTGTGAGACGGTCTGTAGTGAGAGTGTGTGGGGGGACGAGGGGAGTTGTTGTTCAGAGAGGCAGTCGAGGTGCCTCCTGGGCTCGGGAGTGGGATCTGAACCTTTTGAACAGGTTCAGCTCGTTTGCACGCTGTTCATTCCCCTCAACTGCTCCTCCAATTCTCTGTTTGAAGCCAGTGATCTCATTCATCCCACTCCAGACATCCCTGGTGTTGTTGTCCTCCAGTTCTTGCTCCAGTTTCCTTCTGAATGTCCTCACTTTCCCTGATACTGCGTTTGAGCTCTCTCTGTACCTGTTTGAGTCTGTTGTTTAAACGCCATCTTCTTCTTGTTGAGAACGGCCTTCAGATCGCTGGCTACCACGTTTGTTGTTTGGGCAGCAGCGGACCTCTTTAGTGTGGATGTTGTTGTCACTGCAGAACCCAATGTACTCAGAGACACAGTCAGTCAGCCTATCAATGTCCTCACCATGTGGCTCATACAGAGCATTTCAGTCTGTGGCCTCCAGCGCTCCACGCAGTGTATGCATACTCTCAGGAGACCACTTCCTCACTGTCCTCACTGTGACCGGGTGCTGCTGACCCATGGGCTTGTATGATGGGGAGAGCAGGACAAGGTTGTGGTCTGACCTGCCAAGTAGTGGCAGGGCAGTGGAGCTTATTTCCACTGGTGGCATATTTAACAAAGTGGAAGAAGGTTGGGAGTGTGGATGAGAGGGAAACTTGGTTAAAGTCACCTGTGATGATGATGAATCGTCAGTTCAGCTT